CTGTGCCACACTGGCACTGTGCTGTGCCACACTGGCACTGTGCTGTGCCACACTGGCACTGTGCTGTGCCACACTGGCAGTGGCATATTTTACATCCAGTTACATCGCCCAGTGTTGTACATTTTGCAGTAAAGACAATGTTAACAGTAACTGACACCTGCCCTTATTCCGAGGGCCTGAAGTATTTGACCTTATAACCTTCACTCACCTATTTCCTAGTTGAACTCATGTCTTGTGCTAAGTGAATGCTAAGAGGATATTCTCCCAGCCAAAAGTTTTGAACATAGATATGGACATAGGACACTTTTCCACACTTTACTGCATGAGGTTATCTAGGCAGCAAGATTACTGTTCAGGAAAGTTGACATTAAAACACTAACACATCCCCTCAGTCTGTCTTCCTTTGCCTTTCAAACAGACAAAGACTATTACAGCCTTTGTGAAAAGCAGCCCATCGGACGGCTGCTTTTTCGGCAGTTCTGCGACACCGGAACCGAGCTTTCACAATGCGTCCGGTTCCTGGATGCGGTGGTAAGTTGCTACAATGTTCTGTTCACCTCGCTCGAACGTGGCTTTGGACAGAAGCGTCTGCTTTATAAGGCACGTGATCTGAGCCAGCCTGCCTGCCCGCAGGTTTGCCGTTTGCGCTGCTTCTGTGTACAGCTGACAAGCCTGCTTTTTAAATTCACGAAACAAGTTTTTCTCGTCTGAAACGCACATCGAACTTTATTCTGCCTTTCTTCCCCAGGCGGAATATGACGTCATCCCCGACACAATGAGAAAGGAGTATGAGCAGAAGCTAATGAATACGTACTTCAACCTAAACGTAGGTCCCGGAAATAAACCACAGAATTTTACTTCATAGAGGGCGTAGGACAAATGTGTTCCTACAAGTTCTGCTGGAGTCTGACTGGCTGCCATTGCTGTGGTTTCTGTTCGCGTAACAGTCCAGATTAGCATTCCTGATTAAGTGATGTGTACGCTTCCATTTGGCCATTTTGTTACTGCAGCTTCTCCATCATTAGCGTTGACAGAGATTCAGGCGCGTCTCTTCATGCTCTTCCACAGTCACAGGAGCATGTTGCAGAGATACCAGAGGAGATCTTTCAGAAATGCGTGACGATTCTGAGTAAGGAGCCATGTAAGGACCTGTTTAAGGAGTGCGCAAAGTGAGCTCATGACCTCGTCCTCCACTGTCCCTGCCCCCTGTAAGTCTGTGAGTCTCAGGGTTGGCTTCCGTCGCATGCTGTCTAATGCAGTGTTTGTGTTTTGTGGCCCGTTTGCGGCAGGCTTGTCCATGACTACCTGAGTGTGGGTCCATTTGCCGAATACCTTGAGAGTATGTACTTTAAACGTTTTCTGCAGTGGAAATGGTTAGAAAGGTATGTGGTCCACCTTAAATTCTCACCCTGGGCAAACCATTCTGCGGGGCCATAGTACCTATCGCACTGCATTTCTGAATGAAGCAAAAACCGTCATTACATTTTATTATACCATGAGTAACAAAAAGTTAATTTCTCAGTAATAATTCAGTTTGTATTTGAAAATAAGTCTTCTCTCTTGCAGATGGTCATACCAGAATTCCACTCACTGCACTTTAGAAAGTGTTACTTAAATGCTTTTAATTGACTGCTCTCCTTTTCTTAGTTAAGAGAATGTTGTCATTTACTTGTCCACTGTCCTTGCTTTCCTGGCAGACAACCAGTAACAAAGAACACATTCCGTCAGTACAGGGTACTGGGAAAGGGGGGCTTCGGAGAAGTAAGTGATACAATGTGTCCAAGTAGTTCTATAGAATGATGTTGCACACAGTTCTAGAATGGATACATTTCAATGCATCTGTGAATGTTCTTGTAAACTCTTTTGTTATTATTCTTACCCTCCTCCGCCAACAGGTGTGCGCATGCCAGGTAAGAGCTACAGGGAAGATGTATGCATGCAAGACGCTGGAGAAAAAGAGGATCAAAAAGAGAAAAGGTGAATCGATGGCACTGAATGAGAAGGAGATCCTGGAAAAAGTGAACAGCAGATTTGTGGTAATTATGAACCAAGGGGTAGGACTTTGCGTGTTTGTAATTGTGTGTCGGTAGTGTGCTTGAAGAGTGCATGCTGTGAGTAACCTATAAAAGAATCTGCCCATTAAAATAGATGATACGAGCATTGATGAGAATGATGACGTTGGGTTCGACTGTTTGCTTTTCACAGTAAGGTTTCACTGTAAAGCTCTTGTCATCCATGGTGTCAATGAGACTCTCATCAATTGCCCTCTGGTCTCCCATTGGAGGTAAGTCTGGCTTATGCTTACGAAACAAAGGACGCACTCTGCCTGGTGCTGACGCTGATGAATGGAGGCGACCTTAAGTTCCATCTCTATCACATGGGCAAGCCCGGCTTCGATGAGCCAAGAGCCATCTTCTACGCAGCGGAGCTCATCTGTGGGCTGGAGGATCTTCACAGAGAGAGAATAGCGTACAGGTGTGGCCTTCTCCTGTGAAATCAGGTTTTTCTTATATGCACAATGTAGGGCTTCTGAAACCAGTTGTGTTTTCATCTTTCACCTTGTTTTCTGTTCTTTAGGGACTTGAAGCCTGACAACATATTATTAGATGACCTTGGTGAGATATTTGATACTAAGGTGTGGTTTATGGCTTTGTCTGCCCTTTGTTTATTTCAGATAGGCCTCTCAATTCAGCTTTCACTCCAAGCTTTGCTAATCCATGACTTGCATGCAGTGACGTACTTCCTGTTGGAATTGGGGTTGTTCCCAGACTTCCGCCTTAGGCTGTTTTTAGGATTTCAAAGCTAACATACGACTCTGAAGCTGTACAGGCAGCAAATAGAAGTGAGTGCACACCCTGGCATGTTCAAAACAGTGCTTTTTTTTCCAAAGGACTGAAGAGACAGAAAAAAATGCTCCGACTTCTGCAGCGCCCCCAAGTGCTGAGAGTCAGTAAATGTAACAAAATGTTTTCGATACTTTCCGGCTGACGCTGAGCCAATGAAGAAATGACTTAATTTTAAAAAGTTTCGTCATTGTAAACGTTCATATTTAATTTAAATTACAGTATAGGTCTGGGCAATTATTTTAGGAAAGCCCCCCCGGTAAAAAAAGAAAGCACTAAAAAGTATAGTGTTTCATTTTTTTTCTTTTTTGCATTATGCAGAAAACTCAAGTCCCAGTAAATTCTAGCACAGCTTATCATTTGAAAATACTCAGCTGTAAATGAAAATTTAAGTGATATTCACGTCTTTAAGAAACAGTAATAAATTAACCAGGTGGATTAAAAATGCTTCATACAATAAAGCACAAACATGAGGCCAGAAAAGTTCTTATATAAACGCGGAAGTCGTAGTAGGTCTGCTTTCTTGTAGCCTTTCTTTTAACGTAGCTAAACAGACTGGCTCTGGTGATTATGTATGTTGGCCGAAGCCTACATCTGAATCCATTCTCCAGTTTGTTCATTGAAGTCTGGTAATTTTTCTGCACAATCTGTACACATCGTTGACAGTCACTTCTGGAAGCTCCCGTGCACACTGGTTATAAAACCGAGCTGTCTTATGATCTCGCATATCGACCAGAAGCATTTGATCAGCCTTAATGAAATGTAGAAGCTGTTGTGCGAGTAGCTGATTTCTGCATGCTGTGCCATCAGTCACCAGCAGGTGGCGCATAGTTATGCATTCACACCATCGAAAAATGATGTGTGTTATTTGGAAGGAAACACAGAACAAGCAGTGTTTTTTGGATTGCATATGGTGTACTTGTGTTTAGTAAAGAAATCCTTTCTGGGAATCAGATTCTGATCTTGTTTCTGGTGCGTCCTCTCTTCCGTTCTGCAGGAGTTAACGTTGGGACCTGTTCTGCATGCACTTCTCGCTTGTTTTATTGGTGTCTTTATAACAGATTCTTCTTTTTGTGTTCCTGTGTGTGTTTGCACTCATCAACTAGGTCTCATCCACCTTTAGGTCATATTCGTATATCAGACCTGGGACTGGCGATCCGGGTGCCCGAGGGTCAGACGGTGAAAGGGCGGGTTGGCACCGTGGGCTATATGGGTGAGTGTGGCTCAGTACAGTCATTGCCAAAAACTTAAGAACATAAGAATTCTACCAAGTTTTGAAAAGTTAAAGTCTAAATATGCTGATTTTGCTTGAAAATGGTATCATTCACGGTAAGAACATAAAAACATAAAAACTATACAAACGAGAGGAGGCCATTCGGCCCATCGAGCTCGCTTGGGGAGAACTTAACTAATAGCTCAGAGTTGTTAAAATCGTATCTAGCTCGGATTTAAAGGAACCCAAGGATTCAGCTTGCACTACGTTATCAGGAAGACTATTCCATACTCTGACTACACGCTGTGTAA